GAAACAAAAAGGGGGGGGTAGCAACTGAGAACTAGATGTAACTTCAAAGGTCTACCCTAGTGATGGACTTCTACCTGGGCCTCACCTCCTAAATTTTCTACTACCTCCAAAATAGAGCTATCAGATGGGGACCAATTGGCCAACACTTGAGCCTATGGAGGAAATTTCGTATTCAAACTGTAACATCCATTTATTCCAGAAGTTTTATGGGGTTTGCTTATTTTGAGACAGGGTCTCACGATGTAGTGGACCTGTCTGACCTGGAACTCATTTTGTAAACCAGTTGCCCCAGAACTCACAGAAGCCTCCATCTCCCAAGTACTGAGATTAAAGGTGTGAGCCACCATGCCCAGTCCATAGTTTTATGTTTTAAATTTATTTGTTTTTTTTTTTTTGGTTTTTTTTTTGGTCTTTTTGAAGCAGGGTCTCCCTGTAAGCCCCAGCTATCCTGGAACTCACTATGTAGACCAGGCTGGCCTTGAACTCACAGAGATCCGCCTGCCTCTGCCTGCCTCCCAAGTGCTGGGACTACAGGTAGAAGCCACCACGCCCGGGAATGTTTTAAATTTATATATGATTATTTTTTATTTACCTTTGTGTAAAATGTATGCGGTTTAGCTTAAAATTTGTTTTATATGGGGTCCAATAATTGAAACACAACTTGTTGAAACTGTTATCCTTTCTTCATTAAATTGCTTTTATACTTTTGTAAAAATTCAATCATCTAAATTTGTGTGGGTGTACTTTTGATTCATATTTTGCCTCATTGAGCTATGTATTTATCCCTTGGCCAATCTGACGTCTTGATTATTTTGCTGTGCAGGAGTATTGAATGTGGACATCCGCTCTTGTCTTAGTCTTAGGGGAAACTATGTAGTTTTTCACTATTGAGCATCATGTAAACTGTAGGTTTATGAAGATACCTTTTATCAGATGAGGTGATTTCCTAATATTCCTAGTTTTCTGAGAGTATTTTACTGTTTTTTGAGACAGGGTCTCAAGTAGCCCAGGATGGTCTTCAACATAGGATGACCTTGAACTTCTGATCGCCCGTCTCCACTTCCTGAGTGCTGCGATTATAAGTGTGTGCCATCACACCTCTCTCACCATTTTCTGTGGTTGTCAGGAAGTCACAGGATCTATATTTGAGTGTGGACTTTCCAGTGCAGCTGTAAATGGGGGCACCCACTCCTCTGTAAATAAACCCCTGCCCTATGCTCTTCAAAAAAAAAGAAAGAAAGAAAATGATAGGTGTTTGGATAGATAGATGAGAGGGATCTGACCAGACCAAAAGTGGATGGACTTGCACTGGGGAACGTCTGGGGACACTGACTTGACACAGTGGGCCTCAACACCCAGGACAGAGTATATGGGTTCTAGTGGGGGGGGGCTATGGGAGAGTGCTGGTGGGGAAGGGGTTATAAAATGATTCAGATAGTTTGAGATATTCTATATGAAATACAACAAAATTTAATAAAAACAAATTTTAAAAAACACAAGTGTGTGCCATCATACCAAGTTTATGCAGTGCTGGGGATCCAACCTAGAGCTCCCTGTACCCTAGGCAAGCACTCTCAACTAAGATACATCCCCAGCCCACTTTTTGTTTTATAAAGTAGTTTCTCTAAATTTATGAACAAGCACAGTCATCTTAAGTTTATTTAGTAATGAAAAACTAGAATATAAATGTGTAAAGGATGAGACAATCATAATGAAAAAGACATTAAACTTACATTTTAGAAGAATATTTAATTCTTTAGAATATATTCAAATATGTAAATACTGAAAGCATGTTGTAAAACAGTATTTATGATTCCAACTGTGTTTTTGTAAAGTACACATATTTACTACACAGTTGTAAATAAATTTATGTACTGTGACATTATTTTCTGTTATGTGTAAATAAATAAATGGATAAAAAAAAAGTACACATACAGCCAGGTATGGTGGCACATGCCTTTAGTTCCAGCACTTGGGAGGCAGAGGCAGGTGGATCTCTGAGATTGAGGTCAGCCTGGTTTACATAGCAAGTGCCAGATCAGCCAGCCAGGCCTACAGGGAGACCTTGTTTC